CTTGAAATTGCAACACATCTTAGTAGAGTATCATGGTGGCACAGCTAACAGTTAAGGGAGAAAGTTTCAGTGACAGACCTCATATGGCCAAACGATTCTACAGAAACAAAATCCGTAAGCGAGGAAAGGTCAAACTGTGACAGAATTGATTTTTCAAGCAGAGTGTTGGCAGTACCATATAGGCTTTCAGAAACATATGCCAACCAACAGCAAGACATTTCAAACGGAAGCTGAGACACTGTTATGAGGTTAACTGTTTTTATTTTCTTTTTTGAAATAAAACGGATGTGAAGAAAAAAGAAACCTGAAAGAATATTCAGCCAAATGTAAATAGTGATTATCAGTAGATGACAGGGGTAATTTTATATATATATATAAAATAATTTATATTTTCCTGTGGGTTCTCTTAAAGTGTTGGAGTGGCCTGGATATCTGTAGCAGAATGCAAGACTGAACACCCTAGCCGTTTTTCTTTTTTTCTTTTTTTTTTTTTTCCCCTAGCCATTTTTGTTATAGCTTCTTTCAGAGCAAGGTTTGGGCAAAACAGCGTGGCTCAATTCAGTAGACAATACTAAAAGGCAAGGAGCTAGGTGAGTAAGGACAAAGGACTCACTGGAAGATATTAGAAGCAAGGGACATTAAGCTATAATGCAGGCTTTATAATTTTATATATATATATATATATATATATATATATTTTTTTTTTGAGACAGAGTTTTGCTTTTGTTACCTAGGCTGGTGTGCAATGGTGCGATCTCAGCTCACCACAACCTTCGCCTCCCAGGTTCAAGCGATTCTCCTGCCTCAGCCTCCCAAGTAGCTGGGATTACAGGCATGTGCCACCACACCCGGCTAATTTTTGTATTTTTAGTAGCCACAAGGTTTCACCATCTTGGCCAGTCTGGTCTCCAACTCCTGACCTCATGATCCACCCTCCTCAGCCTCCCAAAGTGCTGGGATTACAGGCGTGAGCCACCGCGCCCAGCCTGATTTCTATATTTTTAGTTACATATTATTTATCTTTACCTTTTTCCAAATTTTCTAAAAATAAAAAAATTACTCATATTTTTAATTACAAGCTTTTTTTTAACAAAATGAATGAGATCAGCCATCCAGTTGTAAATACAGAACACTCTAGGTAATATCTGTAGACACGTCTTCCCTTTCAGACACAGGACCCTCGTGAATGATGCCTTAGGTTATTGTTCCTTGGAACCCGTGTCTAGCACAGGGTCTAAAATATGAGCTATATTTATTAAGAAACATTTGTTTAGCAAATGAATTCTGAATATGGCCAAAAACCCAAACAAGGTTACCCTGATTTATCCTCCAGATGGTACAGAAATGACTAGGATCTCCCACTAGCATCTGCCCAAGGACTTCCCTGTTGGGGATGTGCTGATCGGCCAGAAAGATGCTTTTAGCCTGCATTATAGCTTAATGTCCCTTGCTTCTAATATCTTCCAGTGAGTCCTTTGTCCTTACTCACCTAGCTCCTTGCATTTTAGTATTGTCTACTGAATTGAGCCACGCTGTTTTGCCCAAACCTTGCTCTGAAAGAAGCTATAACAAAAATGGCTAGGGAAAAAAAAAAAAAAGAAAAAGAAAAAAAGAAAAACGGCTAGGGTGTTCAGTCTTGCATTCTGCTACAGATATCCAGGCCACTCCAACACTTTAAGAGAACCCACAGGAAAAATGTGTCTTAAATCTCAATGTCATTAAAATACCTACTTTTCAGAGTAAGTAACACATTTTAATTTTATGAGCACTATGAATCTTGAAATCTTTTTTCTCTCTGCTCGTAGCTGACAGCCAAATCTGCACCTTACTACATGCATGTCTATTAGCTAGCTTTTCCTCTTGTTTCATCTTACTATTCTTCCCTTCCTCTAGATGACCTTGCTTTATCTTTATTTTTTCCTCTCTCTCAGATCATGTATATTTTAAGTCCTTTTGGCATGAGGTAGGGTATAAACCACAAAATTAAATACAACCCCAAAGCCCCCAGTCTCATGCTGTCTTTGGAGATTTTTGTCCATGTAGCTTGCCTGCAGGACAAGAAGGTAAAACTCAGCACCACTCTCCTTGCTGTACCAACCAGGGGGTGACCTGTATGTGCATTTGTGACAAAGAAGGCCTGAGGACCAGAGGCCCCTTCCTTTTCACTTCCTGACCACCAGCTCTAAAATACACATAACCACCAATGTGAATAGAGCACTATGACTTAAGGCAAATGGTTAAGAGTGCAGACTTCAAAGCCAGACCACCTGGGTTTTAATCTGCCTGCTATATTCCCCATTCTAACTGCTGATTTTACACAAGTTAAATAACATTTCTGCCAATCTTTATTTCCCCATCTGTGCAACAGGAATAATATAATGGTACTGATCTCATAAGACTGTTGAGAGCAGCAAATGCATTAACACATGTAAAAGTGACTAGACCGGTACCTAACACACAGTAAATGTGGTACCATACTATAATAGGACACTCCTGTTTTTGTTTTTCGTTTTCTGTTGAGACTGGGTCTTGCTATGTTGCCCAGGCTAGTCTCAAACTCCTAGCCTCAAGTAATCTTCCCACTTCAGCCTCACCAAATGCTGGGATTAAAGGCATGACCCACTGCTCCTGGCCATCACTTTAGTTCAGGTCTGATTCACAATAAGGTTTCTCACTGTAAATTACTAAACTGACAAACCCATTTCTATGGTAACTTTGTGTCTGAATCTCACTTATAAATTAATGTTGATTCAAAATTTCCTGTATCCTGAATCAAGGACCAGAGAAAACAAATTAAAATAAAATGCAAAGTTCCTTTTAAACACCAGTCATGTTTAACCATAGCTTTCTGATATGAGAAAGCAGGTTCCTGGGAATGTATCCACAATCAGTAACAAGATGATCCCTAAACCCCTAAGTGTGAACGAATACACAAGTATACACTACCGTGTGCACACACATATACCTGCCAATGTCCCTCCATTTTCAACACAGACATCATTTAATATGCCTGAAGAGATTAAAAAATAAAAATAAAAAATTAAAAATTAAAAAACTCATAAACTATTTCTCAGGGCATTCTTTTTTTTTTTTTTTTTTTTTTTTTGGGGGGGAGACAGAGTCTCTCTGTGTTGCCCAGGCTGGAGTGCAATGGCATGATCTCGGCTCACCGCAACCTCTGCCTCCCAGGTGCAAGCAATTCTCCTGCCTCAGCCTCCTGAGTAGCTGGGAGTACAGGTGAGCACCACCACACCTGGCTAATTTTTGTTTTGTTTTGTTTTGTTTTTAGCAGAGACAGGACTTCACCATGTTGGTCAGGCTGGTCTCCATATCCTGACCTCATAATATGCCTGCCTGGGCCTCCCAAACTGCTGAGATTACATGCGTAAGCCACCGCACCTGAAAAATAACGTATTTCAATAGACAGCTGGTCAGAAAAAAATAAATAAAATATTGTTTAGCTATCAAAGAATAACTCTGCATTGTTAGATACGTGAGGTCCTGATTTGCACCTGAGTTTAGAAAGCCACCTCATACATATGCACTTCTTGAGACAGGGTTTCACCAGGCTGGTCTTGAACTCCTGACCTCATGATCCACCCGCCTATGCCACTCAAAAGTGCTAGGATTACAGGCCTGAGCCACCGCTCCTGTCCTACGTAAGCACTTAAAATGGAAATTCATCATCAGACTCCACACCTAATGCAATGCAGAGCCCAACTCTAGCTGTGCCCCATCTTTGCTCAGGGCAGTGTCAGTCTCAGCAACTTCCTTCACACTCAGCCCACCAAGATTTAAGTCCTCAATGAAGGACTATTTCACATACGTACATACATGATTATCAAATAAAGAAACTTCATACTCCAACTGTAGGAACGCAAAGAAAGAAAACTAGCTAAGTATGAAAGCTGTAGAGTTTAGGAAGATCAAGGGATAAAAATCACTGAAACTTATCTCCTGCAACAAAAGTTACTTCAAAACTTGATGTAAATGGATTAAATTTCAGCATTTCGCTATATCGAAATTACACGAGATGGGAGGAAAAAAACAAGAATACATCGGAGCCACTTTTCCATTTCCTACATTTCCCTTAATTACCTGCCCAAACGAATGCACCTAAGAGTTGTTACAGTATTGAAACACTCAGTCCTTTCTAATTACCCGCCCAAATGAAAGCGCAGAAGAGTATGTTAGTTTTTAATTAGAACACGTCTGTCTCTTTTATAATTCGCTTATTTCTGCATATAACAGAAAATACTCTAAGAACAGAGCAAAAGTGAACAAGGACAATCCGCCAAGGAAACTGCTTTGAGAATTTAGTAATGTCAGCCCTCTCAGGTTAAGATCGCCAACGTCTTTGGGAAAGCGAAGGAAAAGATGATACAGCTACACTTCCGAATAGCAACCGCTGAGATTACTACCGCATGCTAGATTCTTTCCACAGGGAGGGCGAGTACAGGGTTTTCTAAACGCTCTTCCCAAGATCCCGAGGTCAGTTTCAAACGCGGCTCCACGGCGAAGTCCCAGAGGCGGCTCGCTCGCCCACCCCATCCTGCAAGCATTGCACTTCCCGTTCACTCTGGCCGGTCAGGAACCCTAAACTGACAGTGACAAACACTGAGAAAAGAGGAAGTGGCTAAAGACCATTTCAAGACATTTTTTTAAAGGGAGATCAATGGCCCCGTCTTTCCGGAAAACTTCCATGGGACGCTGCCATCACACCTTCTGAACGTTTCAGCGAATGACAATGCTGCAAAAGGGAAGCTGACTCCCCTTTAAAACATGTATTTTTTAATCCTCGAAATCCTCTTGGTATCAAACCGATCCCTCCCGCGTAACAGCGACCGTAGCAAAACGAAGAGCCCCATCCCGCTGGGGCGGATCTCGGAAGCCAGGCTCGGGGCCCGGCGCGCGCCGGGTCCTCGCTGCCAAGCGGCAGAGGAGGCGCCGGCACCGCGGCGGCTGGAGCACCCGGCGAGCGCCTCCGTTCCCTCCCTCACCTGGTTTGACTGGTTTGGGTGGCGGCTTCGACATCTCGCTTCCTGGAGCTGCAAATCCTCAAGACCCCGCAGAAAAGTCCACCGCTTGCCGCCACCTGGCACTCCGGGCACCCCGAAGTTTCTTTTTGTTTGGCTTACAGCCGTGCGCCTCCCAGGTCCGGCGCCCACCCTAGGCTGAGAGACGAGCGGACGCAGGCACAGCGGCTCCGCCGAGTGCCCCGCCCCGCCCCGCCCCGCCCCGCCCCGCAGCCGCCCGAGCCCTCGAGAGCGCGCGCCGGCACGACGAGGAAGTGGGCACCGCCTCGCCGAGCGCTAATTGGCTCCCGGGCTGGCAGCTTCGCCGCAGCGGGAGCGCGAGCGGCGCGCACGGCGGCGGAACCCGCCGGAGCGGAGCGAGGGCGAAGCGGGAACGCGCCGGGGCCGGCCGGGCCGCGCGCGTCCCCGATAGGGAAGGGCGGGAGCCGGGCAGGGGCGCGCGCCAGAGGTCACGCTCGCCGGAGCTCCGCCCCAACGGGGACTGGAACCCGGCGCTGAGCCGGGTGGAGAGGGGCCTCCGGTGACCACCCTTACCTGGCACCCCCTAACCCGGGAGGGGCGTGGGCCTCTCGGGGAGCGAGCTGCGGGTAGCGGCGCACCGGGGACAGGCGCGCGCTTGGCCGTCGCCTCTCCGCTGTGTTTGGGAGGACTCGAACTGGCGCCAGGTGAGTGCGTACCTGCTCGCCACTACCGCGCCGCGCCGCCTCGCTGGGGCCTGGAGGTGTCTCTATAGGGTTTCTGTGCTGGAGCCCGGGACTTGGTTGCGCCCTGAAAGCCTTGCCGGGACTCTTGCCACCTTCGCAGAACTGATAGATGGGCTGCCGAGGAGGACGTGGACTCCTGGTGGCGTGGTGCTCTAGCGCCCCGGAAAAATCCTGAAAATGGGAGCGCTGCCTCCCAGAGACCGCGCAGCTGGGAGAAGTCGCCAGGGTGTTGATCCTCGCGGCTCGAGAAGGTCTCATTCCTCTAGCGTTGGGGTGATGAACTACCGCCCGCCTGCTGCCTGTTATTTTAAGGCCTCCTAAGAATTTTTATTTTACGTTTTTTAATGGCTGAAAAGAAATCAAAAGAAATATACTCTGTAGTACATGAAAATTACATGAAATTCCAAAATATACTGGAACACGATCACTCTCCTTTGCTTCTGTTATCTGTGGCCGCTTTCGCATTACCCGGCAGGGTTGAGTAGCAGCCGTCAAAGCCCAAAGCATTTCCTATCTGGCACTTTACAGAAAAAGTTTGCCGACCCCCGACCTCGCGGATTCAGTCTTCGGTGGGAGGAAAGAGCTGGAGCACACAAGGAAGCCAATAGCGTAAATTCAAAGTAACAGTCAGTATGGTGAACCAATTGTATATTTGCGGAAAGAAAAAACTTTTCCTACGTAAATGAAACCAACGGGGGAGGGGCATGAATGGCGTTTTCAAAAACCCCAGCCTTGAGGATTCGTTTACCAAAAGGGAGCAACGTTTAAACAATAGTAGGAAAAGGCTGCCCTATCTCCTGGAAGAAGAGAATCAAAATAGCTGTTGTATAGAATACAGAGTGACAAGTCCTGGAAACATTTTCCTCTTTTTAAAATATCAGACTGTCCTGTAGATACATTTGAAGAGCACATTTAACAGGAACATTGTCATCTGTCTTTCAGACCATGTGTGTTAGCGAGTTGCCCTCTTCCTTACAATCTGCTGATTCTGCACATGCCACTTCTGAAAATCCAAAACGTAAATATTTAGTAGTGAAATGAATTAAACATAATAAACACATATGCATTATGGAAAAATCCCAACATTTTATTTAGCATTAAAAAAAAAGTGTAAAAAATAAAAATTAGTCATTTTAGGTTTGCTATTGGCTATCTTAGTGCGTTCTCCCGCTATGCAAAAGCTCTCTGCTGTTGAGGAAAGCTTTGTGTGCTCTTGAAAAATAAGTGACACAGATATTCCATGAGATTGAAGGTGGTATGTATTCCTAGTGATAGGCATGCCCTGAATTGATGGAGCTGGCAGTTCAAAGGATTGACTCTTAGGACACATCACGTGATTTAACAGTTTGTATGAAACTTAGATTTGCTTCATGAAGCCTGGCAAGTCATAATTGCAGGCTTTTTAAATTTGATTTGGTTTTGTTTTTGTTTTTTGAGGAGGTGGTTTTGTGGTGGTTTTTTCTGTTTTGTTTTTTTTTTAGATAGGATCTTACTCTCTCACCCAGGCTGAAATGCAGTGGCACAGTCACATCTCATTGCAGCCTAGTAGTTCTTAGAGGGCCACAGGCAATTAAACGGTAAAACATGATGTGGAGGTGGACAGAGCCAGGCCTGAACTTGGAGCTCACCTAAAGCTGCCCTGTGCGTCCACACTGTTTTTGAAATAAACAGCTTCAGTGATTGCTAGGCCCACCTCCCACCCCACCCTAGTCACTTAGCCCAGTCACCTCTCTTGTCTCTGCATGTTCCAATTTCTCACCCTTCCCATCACGTTGTCACCTGCTCATTGCTGATAGGATATGCCCAACATTTACCCAAACACTGTCTTTGACAGGCCCAGACTGCTAACTAAAGTAGAACTGGGACAAACAAACAAAAAATTGCATTTGACTGTATCCGAAAGATTTTATAAGTAGGTTTTTTTTACTCCATCTCACTCCTGGTTCCTGAATGCAAGTAACACCCTCAAGCCCATTTCCCGTGCCACAACCATGCTCACTTGTTATTTACATGCCATGTAATTGATGCAGTAGCCACACATGTAAGCACAGATGTGCCAGTTAGGATGGGGACCAGTAGTAGTCCTTTCCATTCTGTGTGCACAGCAAATAGATGCCCCATCAATAATACATCAGTAAGAATGACATCAATTATACATCAGAGCCTGACAATTAAGCTAGCACATAGGCAACACCCTTTCTTTGCTGTTAGTAATAAAGTGCTTTTTAGCAGGTTGGAGTGATGGAAAGAAGTCAACTCAATTGTTTTAGTTTCGTATCTGACTTTTCTGCTTACCATCTGTGCGACCTTAGGCAAATCATTCCATTGTCTGAGCCAGTTTCCACTTTTACAAAATGAAATGAAAGGCCAAGTCATCTCTAAAGTTATATTTCGCCAAGTTTGAGAATTTATGCTTCAACAAGCTCTCCAAAACTAAGCAAGATGGAGGCAAGGAATGATAACGTTTTATGAATTTTTGTTTTATTTGGTCAAGTGAGGATATCACTCTACCACCATCTACTGACAACATAATTTGTAAGACAAAGAACATTTGTCACCACAAAAGTGAGATAAAGAACAGCCTTGCCCTTCCCCCCCCCCCCAAAAAAAAGCCTAGATGGCAGCATGGCACTGACATACCAAAAAAGTAAAAACAGCATAAAATAAAATTCAAAAGCAGAAAAATTATAACATAAAAATATATTTTATAATATTCATTGTATGCAGTTGTTCCCTCAATACACCTTGGAAATTTGGATGGAGATGTATATTCAATAACATAACTTTGGATGAAATGCAAATATCCAATTTGTTCTGCTATTTTATTTTTTGAGACAGGGTCTCACTTTGTCACCCATGCTGGAGTGCAGTATCCCAATCTCCACTCACTGCTACCCCCGCCTTGGGGGATCAAGCAGTCCTCCCACCTTGGTCTCCAAAGTAGGTGAGACTACAGGAGCATGCCATCATGCCTGACTAATCTTTTGTATTTTTGGTAGAGACAGGATTTTGCCATGTTGCCCGGGCTGGTCTCAAACTCCTGAGCTCAAGTAATCTGCCTGCCTTGGCCTCCCAAAGTGCTGGGATTATAAGCGTGAGCCACCGTGCCCAGCTGCTATTTTATCACAGTCATTATTGAATTCTTGTCTCACATAGACTTGTTAATAGAAGTAGATTCCAGTCTTAAGCAGTTGTACTCAATGAGGAATATTCTGGATAAGCCAAGAAGTCAGGCAACAATAGCTCTCTCCCCACTATGCTTTTTTCTCCATAACTCCAGGGAGAGTGTGAACACAGATCATAGGAACTGGAGCATTGCTGGGAGCCTCCAGCTTGGCAGCCACTTGCTGCCAGCTACACAGCTTAGGTCCCTGACCACCCCCCTGAGCAGACAAGAATGAAGAACCGTGGCCATCAGGGATGACCTTCAAGAGCCACTGTTCTAAGCTTACTTCCAGCTGCGCTTTACCTTTTCACTTAGTAATGAAAAATGGTCCATTGTAATAACCAAGGACTGCTTTAGTGAACCTTAGGGAAGCATGTATGAAACTGTCCTCTGTCCCCTAGACCAAAGGTCCACAAAATAGCAGCCTGCAGCTTAACCTGGCCCTCTGCCTAAAAATTTGCAGTTTCATGTAGAAAGCACTACAGAAATCCAGTTAAGGGAAATGATAGCCCAATAAAAGGGACTTTCATTCTTTGTCATTAGTAGACCTGTTTTTAAAAAATTATGATTATACATTGAATTTCATGAAAAATTTGTGAAAATGTTTTTTTCTCTTGTTATGTAAGTCCATACCTAACAACCTAGATTTTGCCTCTTGGCCCACACAGTGTCAAATACTTACTATCTGGCCTGTTTCCAAAAAAAAATGTACCTAGCCAGATATGAGACCTAGGCTTTTGGGTGAAGAAATAGTGTCCTTAGAGGGCATTAGCTTCTTTTTGCCTGTGGTTAGCAGTGACTTTCTTCCTGTCTCATAAAGAGAGAAAGAGGCCAGCCCACAGGGGTCCCTCCCTCACTGACACTGAGTCATACCCAGGTGACTGAATCGTGCAGGTAGAAGGCAACCTGGCTAAAGAGAGGATGAAACTTCATATCACACACTGTGGCCTAGCAACTCTTCCACACCCAGAAAACAGATGTTCAGGGGGAAGTGCTCAGGCAGCTCACCTGATATTGACCTGATCGACAGGCCCTGAGCACACCCCAGCTATTGGCACTGGGTGGTAGCAGGGAAAGCCAGTGCAGTGAGGAATGTGGGTAATGCAAGGCTGGGCTGAGAGGTCACTGTCATCCCCTCTCAGCTGGTGCTTCTAATTTAGGATTCTTTCTTTTGACATCTAAATGATACGCATTTAATTTTTTTTCCTTTTAGGAAATACTAAGAAGCTGTGATTTTCAAAGCTAATTATGAAAACATTTATCATTGGAATCAGTGGGTGAGTAATTTTGCTACAAACCACTCTTTAAGATACTGAGGATGTCCAAATGGTGATGTGTGGATGGAGTAGGGGACGGATAAGCAATGAGGATTCCGGAGTCCTGGGGAAGAGCAGGCTGCTGTGGAGATGAGCAGAGTGCTGGCTTCATTAATGCCAACAAGAGATGGAAGACGGAAGAGTTTCCTATAAACAGAAACAGAAGAGTCAGTCAACCATGTGTACATACTTTCCCATTTACTTTGTAGAGCTAACACCAGAGGCAAGGCCTGATTGGACACTGCTTTCGTTCAAGATGATTTATCATTCTCCATATTGGTGTTCCGCCAGCATGGCAGAGAAAACTTACTGTTTCTTTCCAGCTATGCCCAGCTGCAGACATGTGGTATAAAGAACACCCTTAACTCCATTCCTTTCCCCCACGTTTTGGGTGGCCTTATGTCCCATGTTGACCAAGCTAATCCTTGTGGCCCTGGATGCACCTCTCTTTCTCTCACACATGTTCTAAATTATATGGTCATCCTACCTGTGGTCCCGGAGGCAGGCATGCAAGTAAGACATCAACACCAACTGAAAATGACATTATTTGTTTTGCTACCATATTATGTTCATCTTTAAGTATATTCACATTATGTGTGACCCAATTAATAAAATATTTGAGACTATTTTGTTTATAATTTTGGGGAGATCTTTGTTTTATTGTATTATATTACCATAGTAAGTCATCAATCAGAAGTAAAATTGAGTGAACTAAATATCAGAACTCTGCTTTGCCTCCCATCTAATCAGAAGAAAAGTTCAATTCTTCTCTGCAGTACTTCTCTTGTGTTTCTCTTCCTTCCCACAATCACTGCCACCATCCTAATATAGGCCATCATTCCCTAATCCTGATCTTTCCCTTCTAATTTTTCCTTCACACCTCTACCAGTTTCATCTTCACACAGAACATTTTTTTTTTCTGCCTGGTGAATGATATTCAGTGGCAGAGATACACTAGGTTCCCAGTTATCTAGAACTAAATCTGAATATCATGGTATATGAAAGCCATCCATAAATAATAAAGGAAATGTATCCAGGAGGAGCAGGCTGCAGTAAAGGTTTAATACAGGAGCTCAGTGGTATCACCAAAGACAGTTTCTCCCTCTTCTATACATCTTTCATTTGTGTTCATCTTAGAATCAGCTTATCTTTTGGTCACAAGGAGCTACAAGGAGCCCTGTGACTTGTTGTTTCTTCATAGGCTGTCACTGGGCAGAAGGGAAAATGCTTCTCTTCCCTTAGGTCATAGGTCTCCCTTTGACTGGACAAGTTTGGTCCACGTACACCCAGCCACCGTGGTAAAATAGATGGGATTATATTGATTGGTTTAGGTCAGTTGGTTGTGTTTCTGAAATTGAGAGTGGGATCAGTCCCAGCTGGACCTAAAAAACAGAAATGGGACCTGGAGAGGCAATTACAAAGTCCACTGCAGTATTCAATGTGTGTAAATAAGATTTTCCTCTTCTCAATGTCCCAATACAGGGCCATACCTAGAAACCTACCTCATGTCTTCTTATCCTGTGCACTGGGTACTATCCATAACTTCCTAAGAAAGCCTCCTTTCCACTCTCTTTTCTTTAGCAAGTGTCATGATTTCTCTTTTTTTTTCTTTTAAGAGAGGATTTCACTATGTTTTCCAGGCTGTTCTTGAACTACTGGCCTTGAGTAGTCCTCCCGCCTTGGCCTCCCAAATTCTGGGATTACAAGGATGAGCCACTGCACCTGGCCAAGTGCCTTGATTTCATTTTAGTGCTGCTGCATCTGTGAAGCCCATGCCAGATTGAGCTGTGGCAACTTTAGTTCCTGCCTTGCCTCTTATGAACTTAACCACTCACTTCCCTAGGAAGTAATTATCCAATAAGTCTCAATCAAATAATTACTTCATAGGGAAGTAATAACTTAGTAATTATTCAATTGCAAATAATGGGGTTCTGAAGGAATTCAGGGAGCATCCATGAGCCTCCAGAAAATTTAACAGAAATGTAAAGACAGTCATTTTTCTGGGTGTGTTAGTCCATTTGTCTTGCTACAAAGGAAAGCCTGAAACTGAGTAATTTATAAAGAAAATAGGTTTGTTTGGCTCACTGTTCTACAGGCTGTACAGGAAGCATGGTGTTGGTATGTGCTTCTGATGAGGGCCTCAAGAAGCTTACACTCATGGTGGAAGGTGAAGGGGACCCAGCATGTCACATGGCAGAAGAAGGAGCAAGAGAGAGAGGGAGGTCTCAGACTTTTTAAACAGCCATCTGTCACATGAACCAACAGAGCAAGAACTCACTCATTACCATGGAGATGGCAACAAACCCTTCATGAGGGATCTGCTCCCATGAGCCAAACATCTGCCAGCAGGCCCCACCTCCAACTTGGGGATCACATTTCTTTTTTGAGACGGAGTCTCGCTTGCCCAGGCTGGAGTGCAGTGGTGTGATCTCAGCTCACAGGCTGGAGTGCAGTGGCACAATCTCTGTTCACAACTTCCACCTCCTAGATTCAAGCAATTCTCCTACCTCAGCCTCCCGAGTAGCTGGGACTACAGCGTGCACCACCACAGGCAGCTAATTTTTGTATTTTTAGTAGAGATGAGGTTTCACCGTGTTTTGACCAGGCTGGTCTTGAACTCCTGACCTCAGGTGATCCGCCCACCTCGGCCTCCCAAAGTGTTGGGATTACAGGTGTGAGCCACTGTGCCTGGCCAGGGATCATATTTCAATATGAGATTTGGAGGGAAAAAACATCCAAACTCAGTCACTGGGGAAGGAAATCATAACCTTCAGGGGATTCTCTCAGAGTCCCACAACATAAAAAAGTTTAAAATCCATCCTGGCAGTAGACTTTGTATCCCATCTCCATTACTTAATGTAGACTAGTTTTATTGGTATACAACTTATCAATCCATAGTTTCCTCAACTGAAAGATTGGAATATTAGCATCTACCTGTTGCAATATATTCTCTATGTGTTTAAATAATTACAGACTGCCTTTTAACTTCTCCCTAGCCCACAGTTGTGTTCAAATACAATGAGCCCTCTTGTTACCTGGCACGTAAAACTAAATGGTCCAGGAATTGTGCATTTATTTGGGTGTTGTGAGCAAGTAGTCACCCTTTTTCCGTCTTCAGATACTAGAACAGAATACATGCTGGGCATGCTTATCCTCAGGTTGGATAGCACACGCAAAAGCGAGGCTGAGAGAGTGCTGTGCATGGTGGTTGTGGGCGTCCCACAGGAGAAGATTGAGTCCCGAGCTGTCACCTGACTGGGATGTCTACAGTCTGAGTGTGGATCTTAGGTGCAGGCTTGTTTAAATACTTTTTCTCTCCTCTCCTCTCCATGTCTCAGCAGACTGTCTTCTAGCTGATCTGTCTCCTCTAAGGCTTATACAAAAATGGGGTGTGTATTTCTCATTGGCTTTAGCTAAGCCAGTGAGAAAGGATCTGATTGCTACTCTTGGTTTGACTGTATGATCTTAACAGAGATAAGTCTAGAAAATGACAGATTTTTCTAGCCAGGTTGTTCATATTGTAATAAAGTCACCCCTGATCACTATTTCATTTAAACCAAAACTTAATACCTAAACCATGGCCAAGGATCTGATTGCTACTCTTGGTTTGACTGTATGATCTTAACAGCGATAAGTCTAGAAAATGACAGATTTTTCTAGCCAGATTGTTCATATTGTAATAAAGTCACTCCTGATCACTATTTCATTTAAACCAAAACTTAATACCTAAACCATGGCCATTTGGTATGGTTTATAGACATTTTTGTTAAAGAGGGGGAAAAGTCATAGTATTTTCTCAAAACATAGGGTAGCACCCACTCACTTTTCCAAAGAGATGGCCCATATCCTACCCGATCGTGTGTCGTGAGGTTAAATGAGAAAATTTTGTGAATCAGGTTCCTTCTACCTTGAGGCGTAAGGTATATACAAGCCATTTGACGAATGGATATTAGTTCATTTTCCCTTTTCTAGATTGTATTTGTGGATTGATCTTATCTGGGATTAAGCACAGTTTCTTACAAACAGATGTGTAGTCGGGAGTTTTTTTGTGCTGTGAACACTTGATGGTATGATGAAATCTTGACCTTAGAGTAATAGTTTTAAGTGTACAAAATAAAATACATGAATACAAAGGAAATTGGTTATATTGAAATATAGTTATAAAAATATTTTTAAAAACAAATTTGTGATCTTGTAATATATACTCCTCTATGTTAATAAATTAAATAACAATATCCAGAGGTGGGTCTAAACAATGCCATAAATCTGAAATAACAATAAACATCAATGATGCTTCAAGACTTCCATCCCAACTGCAACATAATATAAAAATATCTGTGATTTCTGTTGGTGAATGTCAAGGGTACTTATATCACTTATAATTAAATGTTAGAATTCAATGAAAATAAAGGTATAATTTTCTTCTCATTCAGGTTCACAAATGCCCTGACTTATGTTGCAGACATAAGTCAGGTTAAAACACTTTCAGTAGGCCGGGCGCAGTAGCTCACACCTGTAATCCCAGCACTTTGGGAGGCCGAGGCGGGTGGATCATGAGGTCAAGAGATCGAGACCATCCTGGTCAACATGGTGAAACCCCCGTCTCTACTAAAAATACAAAAAATTAGCTGCGCATGGTGGCACGTGCCTGTAGTCCCAGCTACTCAGGTGGCTGAGGCAGGAGAATTGCCTGAACCCAGGAGGCGGAGGTTGCGGTGAGCCGAGATCGCGCCATTGCACTCCAGCCTGGGTAACAAGAGCGAAACTCCGTCTCAAAAAAAAAAAAAAAAAAAAAACACTCTTTCAGTAAATGAGTGAATAGAGAAGTGCCTCCCTCCCATGTGGTCTCCTAGATGCTGGGAAACTAGATCTGAAGAGGAGTAACTCAGTGCCCCTTCTCCTGGACTTCACAGTCCATCCAGAAGGGACAAATAACTGGCCTGATGTGATAGGCTACAACAACAGGCCTCCCAGCTGGCCCCCAGGTGGAGAGAGATGGGGAAAAGGAGGCATCACAAAGGAAATGTGATTTCATGGCAGGTGGGCTTGTAATAAGCCACTCCTCTGGTTTTTGCACTGTGACTGGACACAAAATCACAGTGACCATATGCAGTTTTATACACTTGCACTAAAATGTGCTACTCATATTCTCTGTGTTGCATATGAACCATGTGAATATTTTGTCATAGACAAAAAAAAAATTTCACTTCCAACACAGTATCTATATTTTTAAGTGTTAGTATTAGTTCACTCGCACAGTAGTTACATTTCTGCTTCATCTTTCTCAGCTTATTTCTTATCATTTAGTACATCAGATCTGCCAGTGCCTGTGGCTTAAGGTATTATCTATGAAAGAAATCATTTCTTTCTTAAATAATAAATATTGCTTCAAATATCCTCTTTAAAAATTATTTTAAAGTGTTGAATGATTTTTGGCTCTGCCCAGTGGCTCACACCTAATCTCAGCACTTTGGGAGGCAGAGGTAAGTGGATCACCTGAGGTCAGGAATTTCAGACCAGCCTGTTTAATACGGCAAAACCCCATCTCTACTAAAAATACAAAAATTAGCGGGGCATGGTGGCGGGTGCCTGTAAGTTCATCTACTCGGGAGGCTGAGGCAGGAGAATCACTTGAACCCAGGTGGCAGTGGTTGCAGTAAGCCAAGATTGCGCCACTGCACTCCAGCCTGGGTGACACAGTGAGATCCCGTCTCTCTTAAAAAAAAAAAAAAAATGTTTAATGATTTTTTAATGCATTTTCCTTCTTGGTACTTTGTTTTTTCTTTGCTTCAGTGTGACAAACGGTGGGAAAACAACACTGGCTAAGAATTTGCAGAAACACCTCCCAAACTGCAGTATCATATGTCAGGATGATTTCTTCAAGGTATCTATAAAACTTCTTAAATACTTTATTTAATACAAAAATGTTTAACCACAAAGTTAATTGAATTATATCCAAGAAGTCTTTGGCGAGTGATGTACCTTTTGTACACAAGGCTCAGTTGCTGGGGGCGGTGGCTCACACCTGTAATCACAGCACTCTGGGAGGCCAAGGCAGGCAGATCACCTGAGGTCAAGAGTTCCAGACCAGCCTGATCAACATAGTGAAACCCCGTCCCTACTAAAAATAAAAAATTAGCCAGGTGTGGTGGCGCATGCCTGTAATCCCGGCTACTTAGGAGGCTGAGGCAAGAGAATCGCCTGAACCCGGGAGGCAGAGGTTGTGGTGAGCCGAGGTCGTGCCATTGCATTCCAGCCTGGGCAACAAGAGCAAAACTGTCTCCAAAATAAAAGTAGGCTCAGCACAATGATGTTACTTATCCACTAGATGGCACTGTCTATCAGTGCTGTCTTTCATTGATCATCCAAAGCATTTATTAAAGACTTACCGCACTTTAATCTGTGTTATTTATTTCCTACACACCATTTTGATGGGTACTTTATTATTTTTCCAGCCAGAGTCTGAGATAGAGACAGATAAAAATGGATTTTTGCAGTATGATGGTAAGTAGATTTGCCTGTCAAATATTATGTGCTTACGTTCATTTTCTTTTTCAAACACATAGAACTTAACTATGTTGAACTTGATGGTTCTGTGGAACAAAAATTTGAAAAAAGAACTTTACTATGTCTGTGACGACAGTCTTAAAATGTGTTTAAATATATTTCTATACTTTAAGCCTGCCTTTCTAGGTTTCTGATTTATGTTGAACTATTTAAATAAGTGAAACCCTTTTTCCAGTTGTTGTTTTTATTATAGAGACAGGGTTTCACCACGTTGGCCAGGATGCTATCTCCTGACCTTGTGTTGCGCCTACTTCGGCCTCCTAAAGTGCTAGGATTACAGGTGTGAGCCACCGCACCCGGCCCTTTTTCCAATTTTATATTTAAAACTGAAAACATTGGGGCTGGGCTTGGAGGCTCACATGTGTAATGCCAGCACTTTGGAAGGCCAAAGCAGGCAGATCACTTGAGCTGTGGAGTTTGAGACCAGCCTGGGTACCGTAGGGAAATTCCATCTCTACCCAAAAAGAAATACAAAAATTAGCCAGGTATGGTTGGTTGTGCATGCCTGTAGTCACAGCTACTTTGGAGGCTAAGGTGGGAGGATCACTTTGCTCAGGAGGCTGAGGTTGTAGTGAACTGAGATCACACCACTGCACTTCAGCCTGTGTGACAGAGTTAGACCCCGTCTCAGAAATATGTATTTTTAAAAATAAAATAATAAAACTGAAAGCACTGGAATGATAGATTTTTCTTCTTTTTAACTGAGGTAAAATATGCCTATTTACAGAGGTTGCAGTGAGCCAAGATCATGCCACTGCACTCCAGCACTGGTGACAGTGCGAGACTGTCTCAAAAAAATAAAAGCTCATATAATGTACTGTCTTTACCAATCTTAAGTGTACAATTCATTGGTAATAAATACATTTACATTCTTTTTTTCTCCCTTCATTCCCCACATGTGCCTCCCCTTCTGGGCCTCTGGTAACCACCAGTCTACTCTCTATCTTCATGAAATCTACTTTTTTTCAGCTCCCACATATGCATGCGAACATGTGATATTTGTCTTTCTGTGCCTGACTTATTTCATTTAACATAATGGCCTCCAGTTCCAGCCATGTTGCTGCAAACGACAGGACTTCATTCTTTTTACGGCTGCATGATAGTCCATTACATATAGACACCATACTTTCTTTACCCATTTACGCATCAGTGGGTACCTAGGGCTGGGCGTGGTGGCTCAAACCTGTAATCCCAACACTTTGGGAGACCAGGGCAGGCAGATCATGAGGTCAAGAGATCGAGACAATGGTGAAACCCCATCTCTACTAAAAAATACAAAAATTAGCTGGGCGTGGTGGCGCGCACCTGTGGTCCCAGCTACTCGGGAGGCTGAGGCAGGAGAATTGCTTGAACCCAGGAAGTGGAGGTTGCAGCGAGCCGAGATCGCGCCACTGCACTCCAGCCTGGTGCCTGGCAACAAAGCAAGACTTTGTCTCAAAAAAAAAAAAAAAAAAAAAAAATGGGTACCTCGGTTCATTTAATATTCTGGTTATTTGTGAATAGTGCTACAATAAACATGGGAGTGCAGATATTTTTTGGATATATTGATTTCTTTTATCTTGGATATATAGCCAGTAATAGAATTGCTGGATCATATGGTAGTTCTATGTTTAATTTTTTGAGGAATTTCCTCTCCATAGCAGCTGTACTAATTTACATTCCTACCAATAGTATATGAGGTTTCCCCTTTATCCACATGGAATGATAGGGCTCTCTTCTGAAGCAAGTCAGACTTGCTGTCACTCTGTTCATTCCTGCCCTGGAGATGTAGAAGTAGCTACCTTGGCCACTCTCAACCCCACCCCATCAGAGAATTTTGCCTGAAGCAAACTATATTCTCTCATTCTTTCAGCTTTCCTCCCTGGTGGCCAAAGTACTAGACAGCTGTGGTTTGGTTTTGTTTTTTTTCACTGTTCAGAAAGGTTTGTGAATATATTTTAGATGGATTCTCCTCATTCCTTACCCCAGGCTAACAGTTTTGAAGCCAAAGGATTACAGTCTATCATAAAACATTTTCTGTAGAGAATATCATGCTACTAGGCTGTTTAATATTTGGTGGTCTTATTAACTTTTATACTTATGAAGATGATCGTTGAGTACTTATACAAACTAGCAACAGAGGGAGCTCTCTTAAAAAAGTCATGAAGTATGTTCTTTATTTTTAACTGATAACCTTTATGAAGCGTTATATAATCAGTTCTTAAGACATATAATAGTTTTATGACAGGCAGAGTTCTTGACTTACTCTCTATTCTTGTATCTTGAGTTGCAGCCAGGATCTTTTTTTTTCTCTTCCTCTCTTCCAAAGGTTAGTGAGAAAAATCATTACAAAATAAGGGTGAAAAACAAGGAAAAACATTTTTCAGCAATTGGCAAAGAATTATTATTCCTAATTTTTAATGAATTCTTACAAACCGATAAGAAAAACTAATATCCCAATAGGAAAAGGGCCTAAGGATGTGAATAAGCTGTTCATAGAAGCAGTCAGTTATTGGATTAATAAATGTACCATAAAAGTCAACCTTAAAGAACTGCAAATTACTTTTTTTTCCCACCTACCAAGTAAATGAAGATTTTTAAAGCAATGACAATTATCCAATGATAGCATGGGCTCAGTAAAACAAAGGCCCTAATATACTTTATATGGAAGTATATGGATAAATTGTTTGGTGCAGCCTTTCTGGAAAGGAGGTTGAGCATGTGTACCAAACAGCATGTTCGTGCCATGACTTCAAGCATTTCACATCAAGAATCTATCTTAAGGAAAAATTTGAACATTTTGGGTAAATGTACACATTTAAGGTAAGTCAAAGTACTAGTCAAGTCTTTCTAACCACAAACAGGATAGTTTTAAAATGTGGAACTATCAAGTTTTTAGAGGAAGTAATTCTATTTTGAATGCAATATAGTTGATTAATATGAAATAAGTCAAAAATTAAAAATCGAAGGATGGCCGGGTGTGGTGGCTCACAACCTGTAAGCCCAGCTCTTTGGGAGGCCAAGGCAGGTAGATTGCTTGAATCCAGAGAGTTCAAGACCAACCTGACCAACATGGCAAAACCCTGTCTCTACAAAAAATACAAAAATTAGCTAGGTGTAGTCCCCACTACTGGGGAGACTGAGGCGGGAGGATCACTTGAGTCTAGAGGCTTGGGAAGCCAAGTCAGGAGAATCACTTGAACCCCGGAGGCCAAGGTTGCAGTGACCTGAGGTTGCACCACTGCACTCCAGTCTGGGCAACAGAGTGAGACTCTGTCTCGAAAAAGAAAAAAAAAAAGATACAAACTTAAGTATAAGGACATAGAAACATAGGCAGTAAAAGGCTAGGAAAAGACTGACTTGGAAACACCTACTGAAAGAACTGTTATAACTCTAGCAACCATACTAATACCAGACAAAGTAAGCTATTTTTTTTTATTGTACTCTAGGTCCTGGGGTACATGTAAAGATCATGCAGGATTGTTGCTTTGGTACATACATGACAAGGTGGTTTGCTACCTCCATCCCCCTGTCACCTATATCTGGCATTTCTCCCCATATTATCTCTCCCCAACCTCCCCATCCCCTGCTGTCCCTCCCCTGTCCCCCCATAACAGACCCCAGTGTGTGATGCTCCCCTCCCAGTGTCCATGTGTTCTCATTGTTCAACACCTGTCTGTGAGTGAGAACGTGCAGTGTTCGATTTTCTCTTCTGTGTCAGTTTGCTGAGAATGATGGTTTCCAGATTCATCCATGTCCCTACAAAGGACATGAACTCATCATTTTTTATGGCTGCATAGTATTCTATGGTGTATATGTGCCACATTTTCCTTGTCCAATCTATCATCAATGGGCATTTGGGTTGGTTCCAGGTTTTTGCTATTGTAAACGGTGCCGCAATGAACATGCGTGTGCATGCAGACAAAGTAAACTTTAAGGCTGAGTATTACTGAGATAAAGAGAGAGAAATGAGTTTCTTTGACAGAAAGAAAAATTTTTTTCTACCTAATAACATAACGTTAAAATGCATTAAGTAAAAACTGACAGAGCTAAGAGGAGAGAAAGATACAAATCCACAATTGGTGTGTGGGGGAGTTTTTTGTTTTTGCTTTTAATTGAGACGGAGCCTCACTCTGTCACCTAGGCTGGAGTGCAATGGTGTGATTGTGGCTCACTGCCACCTCTGCTGCCCAGGTTCCAATGATTCTTGTGCCTCAGACTTCCAGGTAGCTGGGACTATAGGCACACACCACTAGCCTGGCTAAGTTTTTTGGTTTTTGTTTTTTGAATAGAGATGGGGTTTCGCAATGTTGGCTAGGCTGGTCTCAAACTCCTAACCTTAGGTGACCTGCCCACCTGAGCCTCTCGAAGTGCTGGGATTACATGTGTCATGTGTGAGCCACTATGCCCAGCCGATGAGGGAGATTTTAATACAACTTTCTTTGTGAATTAGTACTTTATCATAACAAAGTACTACGGAATGCCTTAAGCATTAGGAACTAGATGGAAATTTAGAATGGAAAAAATGCAATACTAAAATTTAAAAACTCACTGGATTGGCTCAGTAGCAGAATAACTGTGACAGAGAAAACAGTGAACTTAAAGACAGAACAATACAAAGTACTCAATCTGAACAACAGAGAGAAAAGAGACTGAAAAGAAATGAATAATAATGTGGAACAATAATGAAAGATCCAATATTCATAACATTGGAGTACTAAGCATTCTACAGTACTTTGTTATGTTAAAGTACTAATTATTGTCTCACAATTCGAGAGGCTCTGAGATCCAGGTGTCAGCAGGGTGGCTTCCCTCTGAGGCTATGAGGGAGACTTCGATGCCCCTCTCCTCGCTTCTGCTGTTTGCTGAAATCTCTGGCAGCCTTGCCTTGGGCTGTATCACCTCAGTCCCTGACTTCTTCTCCACGTGGTGCTCTCCCCATGTGTGTATCTGAATTTCTCCTTTTTTCTCCTTTTGTAACCAATTATATTGGATCAGGTGCCCACTCTACTCTAGTGTGAACTTACCTTAACTGATTTTATCTGTAATGACCATATTTCCAGATAAAGTCACATTCTGGAGAGCTGGGCATTAGGACTTTAACATAGGGGGACACATTCAACCTATAACAGCAACTAATGGGACTAACAGACAAAAATTACTAATGATATAACAGATTTAAACAATACAGTTAACTGACTTGACCAGAAACTGAGATGTACAGAAGAACATGCACCTAACAACAGCAGAATACGTATTTTTTTCTTGAGTACATGGAATATATTACCCCAAATAGTCCATATATGCAAAGGCATGGAGCAAGCCCTAATACACTTCATGGATTGAAGAAATATAAAGATATTCTCTAATCACCATGAAGTAAATTAAAAATCAATTACCAAGTGTTTAAAATGTAAGCATTGCCCTTTTTTCTGATTTTCAGTAACTTTTTCTCACGGAAAATTTCAAACATACAGAAATCAGCAGAAAAGTATAATGCAGTCTCTCATGAGGTCGACATCCAATTTTAATAATGATGAACTTTTGGACAGTTATATTTCATCTACACCCTCACCCACTCTATTCATCTATATTGTTTTGGAGCAAATCCCAAAACATCATTGCATTTTATCTGAAGCAAAACACCTACCTATTCCATGGATCAAAAGCTAAATCACAATGAAAATTAGAAAATATTTTTAACTGAGTGGTAACAAAAATATGTATGTCAAAACTAGTAAAATGGCTGGTTCCAGCCGAGATGGATTAGTCCCATTGCTCACTGGTCCTCACTCCTACAGTGAAAGACCCTGGACATAATGCAACAAACAAAGGAAGACTGAAAGACAAAAAGAAAGCATGCTGGCTAGGGATTCCAGGACATGACAAATGACAGGGCTGTGGGATCCCTGGGTTTTCTTTTTGCCTCCTGCATATACAGGAGAATTAAACAACATGGAACCTTCCATAGGCACAGACTAAAAAAGAAACCTGTTCTTTGTAATCAAGGGACAAGGAAAAGGGTGGCCTAGCAGAATAGAAAACTTTTTTGGTAATATCCACCCTACTCTAGCCAGAAATAAAAGGCAAAACAATCCTCCCCTCATGGTGTTAGTTGGGTGCCAAGCTACACTTACAGAAGATCCATCCAGCATTAGCAAGGCAGGCTGAGTACGCCCTCTATGTCACCCATGGGGATTGGATTAGTGGAACCACATGGGGAGCAGCGCTTTGACCTCTACCTGGCAATACACGGGTGGAAAGAGGCAGTGTGCAGCGGAGCATGTCGGCACTTCACCTTCCTTACGCAGGTGGTATCCGCTCCTGTCAGCAGAACTCACTGGAAAGCTGAACTTCTACCCATAACTAGCAGCAATGAAACTTAATCAGCACTCTGCTTAACCACCTCTTCCCACAACTGACCAACTTCCCCCAAAACACAGCATCAGCAGGGCCTAACGGGAGGCGGGGCATCCACCCCCACCTGAACCTGCAAGCTCTGCTAGAATAGGGCGACTGTCTGCAAAAGAAGATTAAATAGGATCTACAGCCTCATAACACAGTATCTAAAATGTCCTGGACACAATTGAGAATCACATGTTATACCAAGAACCCAAAAAATCTCAACTTGAATAAGAAAAGAGATTCAACAGACACCAATACCATGACGACACAGTTGTTGAAATTATCTGTCAAAGACTTTAAAGCAGCATTATGAAAAGGCTTTAAACATACTATTGCACACAGGCTTGAAACAAGTGAAAAACTAGAATGCCTCAGTAAAGAATTAGAAGATTTGAAAAAAGAACTAGATGGAAATTTTAGAATGGAAAAAATACAGTACTCAAATTTAAAAACTCGCTGGATTGGCTCAGTAGCAGAATAACTATGATGGAGAAAATAGTGAACTTAAAGACAGAACAATACAAAGCACCCAATCGGAACAACGGAGAGAAAATAGACCGAAAAGAAATGAATAAAAATGTGGAACAGTAATGAAAGATATAATATTCATAACATTGGAATCTCTGAGAGGAGAAACTAAAGTATTCAAAGAAGTAATGGTTTAAATAGAAAACTTCTCAAACTTAGTTGAAGACATAAAACTTCAAGAATCTAAGCAATCCCCAGATTAAACAAGTTTGATTTTAAAAAACAGAGAAAGAGAAGGAAAAAAGAAAAAGAAAAAATAATAATAATAAAAATAAAAATAAATAAAAATAAAAAACAGAGAAGGAACAAATTACAAATACCAAAGGCAAAAAAGGTAGTATCACTGTAGATCCTACAGACATTAAAGAGATAAAAGGATATTATGAACACTCTCATTATACAAATAAATTTGAAAAGTTAGGTGAAATTGACAATTTTCTAGAAAGATATCACTTACCAAAACTAACAGCAGGACAAAGAAAAAACCTTAATAGTTCTATGTCTATTAAATAAATTAATCCATCATTTAAAAACCTTTCACTAAAAAACACTCTTAAGTGCTGATGGCTCAATTCAGTGGTTCTGGAGTGGAGCTGAGAATTTGCATTTCTTACAAGCTCCTAGGTGATGCTAATACTACTGGTTTGAGTACCATACTTGTAAACGTTATATAAGCTACTTTTCTAAAATCACAGTTAGCTCGAAAAGTATGCACATTTTAGAGTTTGACAATGGCAAATTTGTGTTCTTTACAAATGGTCTTTTAGTTATTCATATAGAAGAGCTCTTTGGTATATTAAATGTCTTAACTCTGCCAAAGACATTACAGATATTTTCCCCCATGTGTCAGATATCTTTCAAACTTATCTGTAGATATTTCATCTTATAAAAATTTTAAATTTTCGTGTAATCAGGAGAGAATAGAAGTTATAAGTAAAGCAAGGTTAGCCATGGGTTTTGGTTTTCAGAGCTGGTAATAGGGATGTGGGAGTTCACTGTGCTTTACTCTCTGCTTTTTTGTATGTTTGAAATTTTCCATCATAAAAATGTTTCAGACACTCTGGTTTATCAGTATTAGAGTTTAAATGTGTTATCTAAAATATTTGTTATAGGAGTTTTGAAGGAAAACAAAATGATGGTGTATATATTTACAGAATCCTGGATATACTCATCACATAAAGTCATATCACAACATTTTTTTGACGTATTGATTGCATATTTTTGTGTTTGTTTAAAGTGCTTGAAGCACTTAACATGGAAAAAATGATGTCAGCCATTTCCTCCTGGAAGGAAAACGCAAGATGCTCTGTGGTATCAACAGACCGGGAAAGTGCTGAGGAAATTCCCATTTTGATCATCGAAGGTTTTCTTCTTTTTAATTATAAGTAAGCATCTTCGCCCTAATATTGACTCTGAATGAATGGGGGAAAAAACTTTGTGAACTAAGTATGCTGTTATTCTAGGCCTCTGGACACTATATGGAATAGAAGCTATTTCCTGACTATTCCATATGAAGAATGTAAAAGGAGGAGGAGGTAAGTTTTGAAATAATCTTTGTGAGTTGTAATTCAAAACAAAAAATACTAGAAGAACAATGAGGACAGCAACATTATTGAGCAGTGTGTACAGGTCATTTTTCAGAGGCAAGAAGCCTTAACTCTTTTACCTTTTCCCATAAATGGTCATCCACTTGGAGTAAGCCTTATATCAAGGCTTTGGCTCATTTCTCCTAAGTTCTCAAACAAAGCAGGCCTATGGTGATTATGATTTTAGTGTGAGTGTGCCTGTTCTGCCACAGCTACAAAGAACACCAGTTAGTTCAAAGCGTAATCCAACACAGTGGTCTCTCCATGGTTATTTACACTATGTCTCTTAGTCTCTTATAAAGCACTAGAAGGAAAAAGATAAGAATGATAGGAAGGATTACAAAGTTAATTTTAGGATCTGAGAACTAAATCCATGTTGCTGTCTTTTTAACTGCCATTGAGTTAAAACATGTAACACATGTCCTAATCCTGTTTAGATTCAACCTGTTAGTGATTTCCCCATTTTCCTCACCATTAATATTTTACTTTATCAATTGTATGTTTCTGTCAACATTAAGTTTCCTACGTGTTTTGATAGTACAAGGGTCTATGAGCCTCCAGACTCTCCGGGATACTTTGATGGCCACGTGTGGCCCATGTATCTAAAGCACAGACAAGAAATGCAGGATATCACCTGGGAAGTTGGTAAGTGCCTTTTCTGCCTCTATTCAAGGCCTTTTACTTGTCATTTGCCTCAAAGTATAGCAAAGAAAGGACTTAAAAGAATTAAGGAGCCCTTAAGCAAGAACACTCTGGGCTTCTCCTCTTTCATAGCTGGTTCTCCTCGTTTCTGTTTCTCTCTGTGGCTCTTGTCAACTTCTGGATAATTATTCATTCAACCAGTATTGAATGAATGCCTTCCAGTGCTTCTCTGGAGATGGTGAGGGGAATAAGGCAGACCCAGCCCCTGCTGTCATGCAGGTGACGTTCTGTCGTGGAAGCAGGTGCTGTAGACACCAGCTACTCAAGCCTGTCCTTTCCAGCTGCCTTAAGTTCTGTGACACCAAGCTCTAAGGGACTGCCCAGATATGGCACACGAAAGGTGCAGGGGACAGGAAGGAATGAGAATCCCCTGAAAGAAAGGTGGTGTTAAGAAAGCTTTCTGGTAAAGAAAACGAAGAGATGGGATTGATGCTGGTGATACAGGCAGGGTCCAGACCCTACAAGGCCAGTAGTCTAGGTGAGGACTTTGGTCATTATCCTCAGGGAAGTGGGGAGCTCCCTATAGCGAAGTTTTAAACAAGGACGTGATTGATATAGATTCTTGTTTTAGTTAAGACCCCTCTAGCTGCGTGGAGGATGGAGGAGGATAGATTTATAGGGTGTGATGTTAGACGCCTGCACTCGGTAGAACTGGGTGATAGAACAGATATGGAGGGGGCGGAAAGATGACAGACGCCTCAGCAACTGACGAATGCTAGAAAAAAGTGAAGGCATTGCAGACCTGTAAGGGAGGAATGCATGTCTGTTTTGCATAGAATGAGGTTGAGGTGCCTGGGAGACATATGTAGCAGTTTGGAGATAAGCATCCGGATCTGTGGGCCTGAGCTAAGAACAGATCACTGGAATAGAAAACGCAATGCAGAGAAGATGGCAGAAGGCTGTCGGATAAGGCAAAGGAGTTAGAACTGATGTGTGCTTTTCACAATAAAGGGGAAATAAAGGGGACTTGTCCATGTTGTGAGAAGCCTGTTGGCCTCCAGTATGGGTAGCTATGTCAGAGCCGGGCGGGATGCACACGGAGTTTATCCCCAGGACCGAAGCTGAGATTCTGGCTGTACCCCCTCCAACTGGGACCGTTGGTTGCCAGAACATCCTCTTGCTTCCCTTCTCTCCCTTTTACCTAAAGTGCAAATCTAATCAGGTGCCTGTCCTGCTTGAATACTTTCAGTCATCTTCAGGTCTTTGGAATAAAATCCAAACAGCCAGACATTAAGGCCTCTAATGACTGAGGTGCTGAGGTTCCGTCTTGCTCTAAAATCTCATCTCACACTGTTCCCAAAGCTTCCCCATATTCTACCATTTCAAATAGTGCATCAGTGCTCTTGCCTCTCCCTACCCATGCTGTTTTCTGACCAGAAGGCCCTTTCCTTCCTTTAACCTAGACAACTGCTTTTTCTCCAAAGCTGCTTATGCTGGTTTTATTAAAAATACGTATTTTCTCTGATAGCTGAAAACACACATACAAACACACAGACAAAATACATATTTTCTGAGCCTGGTGAATTCTGAGTTAGTACATGTATTGCAGATCCCCAACCACTGCATGGTTCAGAAGCTTCCCAGATGACCCTCATGTATAAGTATATTGGAGAATTACTCTGCAAGTAACACCTCCACTGCTCCTAAAGTGCCATATGCCCAATACAACTTTCTTTCTTCTGTGTCTTTCCCTTCTTTCCTCTTTTCTTCTTTCTTTCTCTTCTCTTTTATTTAAATAATTTTCACATAAGCCAGTGTGGATTTATCTGTAACAATCAAAACTTTTGACTTATTATACCTGGCTAGCATCTATTTCTTTCTTTAATCGCTATTAATTTCCTTTTAAGTTATGGTCCTGGGTGCTTTGGTTAAACCTACTGGCATTTACAAGAGTTGTCAGGTGCCAAAGTAAACATTATATATTAATAAGCCTGTTAGCGTTTGACCTGCTCTCTTTACCCCTTGCAGTTTACTTAGATGGAACAAAATCTAAAGAGGACCTCTTTTTGCAAGTATATGAAGATCTCATACAACAGCTAGCAAAGCAAAAGTGTAAGTATTATGCAAACAAAGTAGATGGTAGAGAAGGAACAGCCAGGGAAATCATTCAATACATATGAAAGAATGGAACACCAGAATGCTAATGTAGGAGTGATCGTGTTCATTCATTTTTTGCTTTGAGGATAATTCAGAATCAGAAATTCTGGGAGGGTGGTTGGAGACTCAATTATTATGTCTGTCTGTTTTTAGGGATGAAACCATTTACCCTTTGTCACATCTCTTAATGATATTTATGTGATTTTCTTTAAAATTTTTAGAGGTGGCTTTCCCAAATGGGACTGGAAGTATCCTTTGGGCAGAGTGTAATTAAAATGCTGATGAATTTGTTTTAGTATGTCCAGAGCTCCCCTATTCTTTTATTCCCTTAAAGACATTCCATAAAATTTCTACTTTCCAAATGCCTCAAAAATAAACAAAAGATTTTTTAAAGTATTATGAAGTGTTTATTTAAGCTTTTCATATTGAACAGCACTTTTTTTTTTTTTTTTTTGAGATGGAGTTTTGCTCTCATTACCCAGGCTGGAGTGCAATGGCGCGATCTTGGCTCACTGCAACCTCTGCCTCCTGGGTTCAGGCAATTCTCCTGCCTCAGCCTCCTGAATAGCTGGGATTACAGGCATGCGCCACCATGCCCAGCTAATTTTTTGTATTTTTAGTAGAAACGGGGTTTCACCATGTTGACCAGGATGGTCTCGATCTCTTGACCTTGTGATCCACCCACCTCGGCCTCCCAAAGTGCTGGGATTACAGACGTGAGCCACCACGCCCGGCCTTGAACAGCACTTTTTGCAAATGACAGAAATCTGCCTTAAATATGGCTTCAGCAGAACACGGGTTCTTCAGAAGAACAGGGCTACTTCAACAGTACAGGGGTTATGGTGGCTTCAGGCTCAGCTGGATTAACCCATTTATGCCTAGTGTTCCATTGTTGGAACGCTAAGCTTGTGGGAGTTATTTATATCCTACTGCTTAAAGTCATCACCAAGGTCTGATTTTTCACACATAAAATTTGCAACCTCCAGCATAAATGGGTTAAGGAACTCAAATAAGGTCTTCAGGACTCTGCTTCTATTCCACCTCTATTTAGGGTTTATTTTGAAGTCAGGCACTCCACTGACATGGTGTCTGTTGACAACAACATCCTCCTAGGTCCATCAGTCCCAGTATAAAAAGATAGCCTTTTTCAAGATTTGACCACAAGTTGATAAATGTTGGAGCTGGGTGTTGAGTACAAGGAGGTTCATATATATTCAATTTCTTTTATATAAGTTTGAAATTCTTTAAATAGGTTTTTTAAAAACAATACTCTATTGTACCCCAGATTAAAAGCCCAGATGATTGGTCCTGCTGGACCACATGACTTGCAAAACCAATCACTATGGCCAGGGAGATAGCATACTCTCATTGGCCAGGCCCAGATCTCATAACCCATCTTGTAATTGAATACCCCACCTAGGTTATTTTTAAAATTTCCCTGGCCAGATGCAGTGGCTCACATTTGTAACCCCAGCACTTTGGGAGGCCAAATTGGGAGGATCGCTTGAGGTCAGGAGTTTGAGACCAGCCTGAGCAATATAGTGATGCTCCATTTCTACAAAAATTCAGCATTTTTAAAAATTTATCTGGGTCTGGTAGCATACACCTATAATCTCAGCAACTCAGAATATTGAGGTGGGAAGATATTGCTTGAGCCTGGGAGGTCAAGGCTGCAGTGAGCCATGATTGTGCCATTGCATTCCAGCTTGGGAGACAGACAGCCCTATCCCTAAAAATTAAAAAATTAAAAAATTTCTCGAAGAGAAAGCAGGGCAGGAGGTAGAAACTAGAAGAAGAAGGTCAAAAAAAACATGCTGGAAGGACAAAACTGTAGATGTAGCTATTGTTACATTTGAACTATTTGAATTAAAAGGATTTCCAGCCAGGTGCGGTGGCTCATGCCTATAATTCCACACTCTGGGAGGCTGAGATGGGCAGATCACCTGAGGTTGGGAGTTTGAGATCAGCCTGACCAGCCTGGAGAAACCCCGTCTCTACTAACAATACAGTTAGCCAGGTGTGGTGGTGAAAGCCTGTAATCCCAGCTACTTGGGAGGCTAAGGCAGGAGAATCACTTGAACCTGGGATATGGAGATTACAGTGAGCCAAGATTATGCCATTGCACTCCAGCCTGGGCAACAAGAGTGAAAACTCCATTTCAAAAAAAAAAAAAGGATTTCTTTGGCTAACACCAGCAAAATGCAATCATCAACTAGCTCAGAGAAGACAATGTGACTCACTCCAGCAGCAAAGAATATTATATATTTTTTTCTTTTTTCTTTTTTTAGTGAGAAGCAACTGCCCTAGTCCAAATGTAGTCCTTCCTCAATAAAAATTAGATTTCCTACATCCTCAATAAATTCCTCTTTGACTAGGAGACTGAGCCCAACTAGGCAGGTCATTCATCCTAAACACTGTTGATTTCAGGATCAGCCCATTATATAGGCATGAATCCATTTGAAGGAATTTCAGGACTTTTTATTTTATTTTATTTTATTTTATTTTATTTTATTTTATTGAATTGAGATGAAGTCTCACTCTGTCACCCAGGCTGGACTACAATGATGCAGTCTTGGCTCACTGGAACCTCCACCTTCCTGGTTCAAGCGATTCTCCTGCCTCAGCCTCCCGAGTAGCTGGGATTACAGGTGCCTGCCATCAAGCCCAGCTAATTTTTGGATTTTTAGTAGAAATGGGGTTTCACTATGTTGGCCAGACTCATCTTGAACTCCTGACCTCATGTTCCACCTGCCTCGGCCTTCCAAAGTGCTGGGATTACAGGTGTGAGCCACTGCACCCAGCCAGGACCATTTTAAATTTTCTTCTTGTGAGTTGAATTTAGAATCCTTGCCAGATATGCCTGCCCACCCCTGCCATCTGTTACTCTGATGAAAGTCAGTCCTCCCATAATGAATCTCCGAGCAGCAACATGAGTAGATATAGAGGATGTGGGATGAAGGGAGGGGCTCCGCCTTTATAAATGATAGCACATGAGCCAGAGCCACTTCTCTGAGAGTTATAGGCTCCCCTTTCTGTCCCTAATGAGGCACTTCCAGGAGTGTTTTGGCTATTGGACACCTATAGGTCTCTGTCTTCTCAGCAATGGCCAGTGTTTGGGCCCAACTTTCCTTTTTGACCAAGTGATACACTGGCGTTTGGCCTTATGATCGACCTGCTGATAAAGATGAAAATAGCCTTGGTCATGTAGCTCAGGTAAATCGCAACCAGTTCCCTCCCAAATTCAGCCTTCACCATCTATCTGTTCCAAGGCCCAACAACAGCTGGCGTGTTTTGACAGGTGCTGCTAGCCCACAAGAATGTGCATTTCTCTATGTGACACCCCTTCTCTTTCCTTCTCTACGTCCTAGAGGCAGGCAGGAAAGTATTCAACTATGCCACTTGAGGCTTCTAGATATTAAAGTTTTTTAAAAAAAAAAAGAAAAAACAAAACTTAAAAGAGGCATAAAAACAGAAGTACATCAGCTTTTCTTTTCTTTTCTGAGATGGAGTTTTGCTCTTATTCCCCAGGCTTGAGTGCAGTGGTGTGATCTTGATTCACTATAGCCTCTGCCTCCTGGATTCAAGCAATTCTGCCTCAGCTTCCTGAGTAGCTGGGACTGCAGGCGCCCACCACCACGCCTGGCTAATTTTTGTTTTTTTGGTTTTTTTTTTTTTTGAGACGGAGTTTCGCTCTTGTTACCCAGGCTGGAGTGCAATGGCGCAATCTCGGCTCGCCGCAACCTCTGCCTCCTTGGTTCAAGCAATTCTCCTGCCTCAGCCTCCTGAGTAGCTGGGATTACAGGCACGCGCCACCACGCCCAGCTAATTTTTTTGTATTTTTAGTAGAGACGGGGTTTCACCATGTTGACCAGGATGATCTCGATCTCTTGACCTTGTGATCCACCCACCTTGGCCTCCCAAAGTGCTGGGATTACAGGCGTGAACCACCACGCCCAGCCTGATTTTTGTATTCTTAGTAGAGATGGGATTTCACCATGTGGCCAGGGTGGTCTTGATCTCTTGAACTCGTGATCCGCTTGCCTCGGCCTCCCAAAGTGCTGTGATTGCAGGTGTGAGCCACTGCACCCAGCCATACATCAGTTTTTCTTATCTCCAACATTTATGGTGGTTTTTCTCAGTTACATAAGTTACTGTTTTATTTATAGTAACCTGTCACCTTTCCTAGTTATTCTATCCACAGGCAAAGCTGTCCTGAAAGTGCCCTCAGCATAGCCTGGTTTAACCCTGAGCTGGGAAGGGCTTTCAGTGTTTCCAGTGACTAATCTTCAGGGTTTTGCCTTCACATCCCATAAACCTGTTTCGCTAAATTTCAGTCTTAAGTACATAAAATCATAATTATGATCGAGGGAATGTGTTCTCTTTCCGGGTCCACAAGGGGCTGTAGTTTCAAGGGCAAGAACTTCCCAATGCCATGCCCCTCTCCCATCTCTCTCTATCCAAAGATTTAACAGTGCAGGGGCGGGAGATAGTCAAAAGTCAATGACTCACTCCAGCAAAAGTTTAAAGGAACTTTTTTCCTTGGCCGGTGGGTGGGGGGAATTCCTCCCAGATTAAAAGTCCTTGTCCCCACACCCGGCCAGATTTCCCCTCTGGAGTCCCCTTCCACACTCTTTGTGGAAGTTTTCTCTCTTCTCCTTTTTCTCTTTTTCTACCTAAACAAAATCACTTTCTGCAAACTCTGTTTGGAATCCAGTATTTTACTTCATGAATGCACCTGCTGTGATCCCCTCTCTCATTCCTGAGAAAGCAGGAGACCGAGAACCTTGGAGAAACGTCCTCTCAGGGGAGCTGAGTGCTCTCCTGAACCCCAAAACCTGGAAACATGATAACATACTAATAATGAAGAAGAAACAAGACAGACTGAATTCAATTATTAATGAAACACTAAATAACCCAGCAGAGTAAGGGAATGGAGTTACACATTTAATTTAATCCTTATTTAAATCCAAAGTGTGAGGCAAAAGGTATTCATTTCCTTATTCTTACTAAAACAAAGTAGTCTAGCCACGAGGAACATACAAACTCCCTTTACAAATGTTTATTTTCATCTCATTATAAAAGCATATTGTTTTTAAAAGGTTTTTATTTTATGTATGTATGTATGTTTGTAGTGATTTATTGTGAGATGGGGTCTTGTTCTGTCATCCAGGCTGGAGTGCAGTGGCGCGATCTTTGCTCACTGCAACCTCCGCCTTCCGAGTTCAAGAGATTCTCCTGCCTCAGCCTCCTGAGTAGCTGGGATTACAGGCATGTGCTACCATGCCCTACTAATTTCTGTATTTTTAGTAGAGATGAGATCTCACCATGTTAGCCAGGCTGGTCTGGAACTCCTGATGTCAGGTAGTCCCCCACCTCAGCCTCCCAAATTGCTAGGATTACAGGCATGAGCCATTGTGCCCTGCTTTTTTAAATGTTGAACATAAAGCAAAAGGGAGGAATTAATCACCTGTGTCCCTGCCAATCATCAGTGTTAACATTTTAATGAGTACACAGCCAGTCTTTTTGCTGTTAACATCAATCTCTCTTTTACAGGACTGCAGGGACAGTGTGGTGAATCAGCCATGCTTATCTCTGTTTTTAAATTAGTATTTAATATTTATGTAGCTTTATAGAGTTCATTATATAATGAAACTAAGTATCTTTTCCAGTTTAAAAAAAATCAAGGCTGTTTTGTACATTGAAGAGAAATGTAAGACTTGACATTGATATATTAGTACAGAAGAAAGAGGTCACGTCTAGTTCCAAATCAAAGAAATAAGGAATTGCAAAATAAAATTCAATTATCAAATGTTTGTATTTTTCTTGTTAAATTTAAAGATAAATTATTATCTTGTTATGCAATTATACTATAGTATAATTATCTAGTAGAGTAGTCCAAATTAACATAAGATCACTTAACCATTTACCAATTGTTAGATATTCACTGTTACAAGTGTTTCACATGGATAAATCACATGCTATATAAAAATATCTGCACATACTCTTTATCGGTTTTCTTAATTTTGAATTATATCCCTGGAGTAGATTGTCAGAAGTGTCACTTGTGTAGTCAAAGGATATAATCATGTTTATATTTCCCATACTTCAAAAATGAAATACTACACTAAAAAGTGTATGTTCTCTAACATGAGCTGTGTAATCAGAATGTGGTAGGTGAATCATTGAATTTCTATGCCAAAACAAGTATTCCACTGGGCTTCCTTTAAGAAAGGGATTAAAGGTAATAATACTTTACCCACATCAAGGGTAATACTCCAAAACAAGGATTATACTGCAGACAGCCACCCTTGTGGTTTTATTCTAGTCTTCAAACTATTTCCTTCCCTGAAGTCAAGGATTATTATACCAATTGCAAGTGATATTGGATATGTATCTGATATTTTAAGATATGCTTTAAATTTAATGCAGGGATTAAAAGAATGGGACTTAGACTCAATTTAGTTATTTACAGGAAACCAGCATTTTTGGCTCCAGAATCCCTGTAATTTTAGCATCCTTAGATTTACTGTTGTTGATGTAAAGATTTAATATAATGAGAATTGGAATTCTCCATTAATTTCTTTTTATATTTATTCCCAAGGTTTGCAAGTAACAGCATAAAGATGGAATGCAGCAAATCCTTCCTGAAGTGAATTGAGAAACTCAAAGGAGTAATTGAAGAACCTTAACCAAGATACAGTGTGTACTGTGATGGCCATTGGGTCATATGTTTGATTTTATTACACATGGTTTTACCAACATATGGAACAGTAAATATCTGTGCCAGTGGACAGGACTCTACCTTAGCAAGTTGCTCCCTCTCCAGGGAGCACATTAAGATAGAGCAGAGCTCATAGTGGGTCAGAACGTCTCCACTTTCTGAACCTAGCTCTGTAACAATGATTGGCAAACTTATCTAACTGGGGCTCAGAGTAAGAAATGAGGATTACATCACAATTCAGTATATGTAGTGTTCATTTGTGTGTCTTTGGGTATATGTAGGTGTGTATATGTGTGTGTGATACATATATACATCAAGTATCATAAGACATTGACCATATATATTATGCACTGTGATATTTTTCCATCTTTAATTTTTAAAAATATATTGATTGCAACCATAGTTTGAAAAACGTTGCTCCATACCATCCCATACCAACACTCACCACCTGCAAATAATAGCATTACTAAGAGGTGCAGTCACATTGAATAAATCAACAATCTGCTGCAAGATCAGGATTATTTGTGTATTTGGTTGTGTGGGGGTTCTTTTGTTTGTTTGTTTTTTGTTACTGTTCTGTTTTGTTTTGTTTTGCACGTACCTAATACCATTGTTGAGACTTTGTTATGAACAGGGTTTGTTGGTTTTTTGTTATTTTGTTTTTGTTTTCTTTTCCCCTCATGGCTCATTTTGTTTTTGTCAAACCAGTGGTCTAAAATCACAGAAATAAGCAGTTACTTCAATCATGTGAAATCCAGGGGACCTATCTTGGTGGGAAAGCAAAGGTGGGAGATCTGAATTGTGTGATCTCTTAGGGCTGCTTTCAATGCTGGAATTTAAATTATGTACTGAACAATATTTTGCTTATTAATAACAAAATGATTGCACACTACCATCTCAGTCTTTATAAATATATTGTTATATTAACCATTCTCTACAAACTCATTCGGTCTGCTCTCATTATTTCTTTATTTCTAACTAGCTTGCACTCACTCAGTGATGACTGGACAGTTCTTTGGATCCCACACACTACAAAAAATACAAAAACAAAGCCCAGGCACAAATTACAGTTCATCCACTCAGTAACCATGACTTCAATCAAGCTATTTAAAGTCTTGGTTTTCTCTTTTTAAGATGGAGGATATCAACAGTATTTAGAATGGGTATAGGATAGAATGAGGATAAAGTTCAAATGTTTTAATGTGGCCTCCAGGGCTTTCTCTGATCTGGCTTCTGTGTAACTCTCTGCCCTCATTTCACATGGGAACTGGATCATATGGTCACTTCTCCCTGAAAGGGAGGCTGGGAAGATGTCATGATAGTCTCAGAGCAATTGTGACTCTGCCTTGGGATGTTGCCACTGAACAATATCAAGGATCTTTTAGTGAGGAAATAGGAAAGCACTGAAGATTCCTACTACAGCCTTTTCCCGCATACCTTCCCTGGCCATGATTTTATCAAGCTTGGGTTGCTGTAATTTGTGTTATTAATACAGTAGGAGAGGTTTTTTTGTTTTGTTAGGATAAAAATAGAGTGTAGATATGATTATTAAACTTCACTTCTAAGAATTTCTGAGATGCCCTCTTCTCTACCTCCCCATTACAAAGGCATGGCCCTGATGAGTAAGAATCATCAGTTTTCTCCCCATTTCCTGATACAAAGGTCAGAGAAAATATCTTTATCTTGCAAAAAGCAAAAAACTAAAAGAGCATTGAAAAGGAACATTCCAGTAATTTTGGGAAGAAATAAGTATCTTTTTGCTCACTAGTATCAATGAGAAATAGGAATTTGAAATAAGAATACCAGTGCTTCATTTCTGCATGTGCAATGATTCACATTATAATTACTCTTTATTAGAGGAGTTAATGGTGGTACTGTTTTCTGTTTAGAAAGATAAAATATATATTTGACAAGGAAGAAATCTGCTGAAGTCTTCACTTTGTGTGCATAAATGACCCCAGACCCTTTAAGATGAGTTTGCTATAGGAAGGCTTCATTGTGTTTAGTATTAAATTAAACATGAGTTTGATTTCAAAGGTTTGAAAGACACGTAGACTATTACACTAAAGGATGAGATTCAAGCCAAATAGTTTATCTTTTAAATATAGGCTTGTGATATATGACAGTCACAAAATGTTGAGGTATTAGTCCAACACTGTATCTGAATATTGAAACTGAAACACCAGAGCTGTCCAACACCTGTCCAACACCATGCAAATAGCTGGTGACAGGACCAGGCCACAATCCTCACATTATGCAAGCATGCACACATTTTTCATTTTAGACAAAGAATGGCAGAAAAATAGGCTGCTAGAATACATCATCTCTCGTTCCCTATTTTAAGGGAGCAAATCAAGAAGCCTGGAAAGGAAAGAACTGTGTCAGGGAAAAATGAAGCTTTCTGTTCTGCACTTTTGGATTCTAGTTAAGGATGCAAGCCAGCTCACAAGCTTATCCATGGTATAAGGAACAGTGGTGAGGTCCTGGAGCTCCATGCCACCATCTGGCTGTGTTGACCTGTGGTTTGTGGCTCTAGCTGTTCTTTCAATATGCCATCCGTGAGGGGAATTAAGAAAAAGCAGGCCAGATGTGGTGGCTCACACCCATAATCCTAGCATTTTGGGAGGCCGAGGTGGGCAAATCACCTGAGTTCAGGAATTCGAAACCAGCCTGGCCAATATGGTGAAACTCCATCTCTACTAAAAATACAAAAATTAGCCAGGAGTGGTGGCATGCATCTGTAGTCCCAGCTAGTTGGGAGGCTGAGAAAGGAGAATTGCTTGAACCCAGGAGGTGGAGGTTGTAGTAAGCCAAGACTGTGCCACTGCACTCCAGCCTGGGCGACAGAACGAGATATTGTCTCAAAAAAAAAGAAAGATATGGAAATGGCATTACTCTCTTGTGCATATACAGAAATAGATGAAAATTGCAATAGCAGCTTTTGGGCCCTAATCAGAGTAGCATAACATGCAGATAAGAGAACACCAAAAGCAAAACTTCTTACCACAGTGAGCATATCTGATGCATTCATGTTCATGAGTCCAGAAATGCAAAAGTAAATACATAGTAATACATTCCCCTTTCAGATCCTAGAAAAGTTAAGTTGTCTTCTTCAAGATTAGAAATAGAGACTAGGCTGTGTATGCAGGCAGCTGAGATGAGAGGATTGCTTGAGCCCAGAAGGTCCAGGCTGCAGTGAGCCGTGCTTATGCCACTGCACTCCAGCCCAGGTGACAGAGCAAGAAGACTCTGTCTCAAAAAAGAAAAAGAAGAAAAGAAATAGAGGCTAAGCTGGATGTGGTAGCTCATGCCTGTAATTCCAGGCTTTGGGAGGCTGTGGTAGGAGGATCACTGGAGGCTAGGAGTTTGAGACCAGCCTGGCAATATAGTGAGACCCCATCTCTACAAAAAATTTAAAAATTAGCCACATATGGTGACTCCTGCCTGTAGTCCTAGCTATGTGGGAGGCTGAGGCAGGAGGATCACTGGAGCCCAGGAATTTGAGGCTGCAGTGAGCTATGATTGTGCCATTGCATTCCAGCCTGGGTGACAGGGATCTTGTCTCTGAAAAAAAGAAAGAAAGAAAGAAACTAAAACTCATACAAACAAATCGTATTGACTCTTCCCTTCAAGCTTGCACAAGCAGATTCCTGGAACTTCCTGCATATCGCAGTGCTTTCCAGACCTTAGCATGTGTCAAAATCACTTGGAGAATTTGTTAGAATGTAGATTGCTAGTCCCCAACCCCAGAGGTTCTGATTCAGTAAGTTTGGAATGGGGCCCTAAAATTTGCATTTCTATCATGTTTTTAGGTGATGCTGATGTTGATTACCCAGGGACAACACTTTCAGAATTCCTGCACTATAGTGGACAAGTAGCAGCTTCCAGGCTCAGAAGGGCCCACAACTGAATTGTTGTTTGGATACTTAAAGTCTGAAAGTACCAGTATTTGCCCCTAAAATATTGCAGAATCACTCTTATACCAGTTATCGATTTTACTAACGTTTAGTTCCAAATTCTCCCTTCTTGCGTCATCTGTGAAAATGAATCTGAGCCCTTTAAATGTTTTTCTTTTGCCAAGTGGCATAATGTTTAGCACTGTCAGTAGAAGGCGCTGGAGAGACACCACAGGAGGAAAAAGTTTTGCCTTTTGGTTCCTGTGTGCTTGCTTGCCAGGTGACTGCAGCAAGCATGACTTCCCCAGGTTTCAGTTCCTGCAGTGCATGGCAGAGAGCAGCACCCCAGGGCCAGCTGCTGCAGTGGAGTGCCTCTAGAGAAATACCTCCCCATGAGCAGATTTTCCATGGCACCACAGAGAGTAGATTTCTCCAAAATTCCAGAAAATAGATTTCCAACAAATTATGCCAACATGACACCAGAGCTACTTTCTTTAGTGCCCTCTCCAACAAGGTCTGGCCCTCCTTCCTACCAAGGCTCTTTGTTTGGTGGCTGTTACTTTTTTTTTTTGGAGACAGAGTCTTGCTCTGTCACCCCAGCTGGAATGCAGTAGCGCAATCTTGGCTTACTGCAATCTGTCTCCCAGGTTCAAGCAGTTCTCCTGCCTCAGCCTCTCAAGTAACTGGGATTACAGGCCCGTGCCACCACACCCAGCTACTTTTGGTATTTTTAGTAGAGATGGGGTTTCACTATGTTGGCCAGGCTGGTCTCGAACTCCTGACCTCAAGTGATCCACCTGTCTCGACCTCCCAAAGTGCTGGAATTACAGGCATGAGCCACTGCACCCAGCCAGCTGTTACTTTTATCTCTTCTTAGAATTCTCTCTTTACTTCTTACCAGCCAATCCTTTGTTTATATAACATCTAACTATATTTCTTTGTTAAATTTATATGTATATATATATATTGTATTTTTATGTTTTTTTCTACAGCCCTTTTTAAAGCATGAACATTTTATATTTTACCTATTTAAGTAGATTTAAATAAATATACTTAAAACATATTTACACATTTATATATAATTTACCTATTACTAAATTTATATAAATGCAATCATCAGATTTTTAAAATAATTATATTTATTTTATATAAAGAATTTATATAATTCTTTTTGTTGTTGTTGTTTTGTTTCTTGAGACAGAGCCTCCCTCTTGTCACTCAGGCTGGAGTGTGGTGGCACAATCTCAGCTCACTGCAACCTCTGCCTCCCAGGCTCAAGTGATTCTCATGTCTCAGCTTCCTGAGTAGCCGGGATTACAGATGTGCACCACCACACTTGGC